ATCTGCTGGCCTTTTAGTTTATTACCAATTCAGCGGTTAGAGCGTTCGCTCTAGAGTCGCGGAGTAAGGAATTGTCGCGGGTTCGAATCAGACTGTGGGACGTAGAGACCGGTCCTTCGGAAGAGACCGTATAAACCGAGGTCCCATGTCGTGGTAGGTGCTGGCACGAAAAAGATCCCTCACTGCTCAATGGCCCTAAGTGTCGAGTATAGGTCAAAATTTGCAGTTTCTCCATCGGCAAGTGGTGGCGTCTCCTTATGAGTAAAAATTCTCAAGAGGGACGTTAAACAATAAATAATAATAATATTCTGTCCTGATGGTTATTTCATAGTCCCCTATCTCCTTTATTGTTTCAATCAGATAGTGAGCGTTTAAAAGTTATAGAATAGTCTAGAGGTTCATTATTATGTAAGAACATTTCAGTTTCAGAGCATTTTTTAAATCTGAGAGTGTTTCAGACCAATGCAATATTTTAGAGGTTTATTGTTATAATCAGTGAGAGTTTCGGACTGATATAATAGTTTAAAGGTTCATTGTTTAAATCTGAGAGAGTTTTAGACCGCTTCAATCATTTAGATGTGTATAGTTTTGTTTGGTATTTGATGAGCATTTCAGACTGGTACAATAGTTCAGAGGTGAGAGTGTTTCAGACTGGTACAATAGTTCAGAGGTTTATTTTTTTTCTGTGATAGTGTTTCACACTGATACAATACATGTAGTTCAGATTTTCAATGTTTTAATCTGAGAGCGTTTCAGACTGATTAGAAATTTACTATACTATCATACTTCGTTAGTATTAGTTGAAATTGAACACAATCACCATGACTTACACGATTTAATTAAGACTAATTTTAATTTTATTAACAGTATCACGTATTTTACATGTTTGTTTGGTTTGTGGTTATACGGTGGTTGTCGGGTGTATTACATGTTTGTTTGGTTTGTGGTTATACGGTTGTTGTCGGGTGTATTACATGTTTGTTTGGTTTGCGGTTATACGGTGGTTGTCGGGTGTATTACATGTTTGTTTGGTTTGTGGTTATACGGTGGTTGTCGGATCTAGTAACAATGTAGTCCCTGACTCTTGGTCAATGTTCGACGAATCTTTCACATAATGATGATGAAGTCAGATACGTAGAAATGACGGCATAATTTATCTATAGCACATGTACAATGGAATGATCAAGAAAGAATTGAGCGGATTTGATGAAAGATAGATGCCACGGAACTTGCTTGATTGCCCTCACCCCTCATGTATTATTTTTCACTTTTGAGACCTCATCAACTTACTGGTAAAGAATCTTCAAACCTGTCCTTGAATTCATATGCGATTGCGAACTCGATATAATCCTAAACAGTGCATGCTGCATCCCCCTCCCCCTAGACATTGAAGTCGGACTTTATCAAGTGATTAAGGTTGGTATCCTTGCAGTCTGAGCTATAATTACACTTTTTGATTGTACACAACGATAATTTTTCTTTCCATTTTTATGTTCATTCCCAGATGCTAAATTATTTGTTTTAAAAATGAATATTATCTTATTATTATTTTTACTATGTCATACTTCCTTAATCTGTTTTCTTTATGTTACTTATATGAAATAGGAATAGGCATCAGAATTGACTCATCAAGCTGTAAAAACTATATACATGATACCAACAATCCTCACTAAGGAATTATTTGACCTGGACAGTGCGGTTTGCAGTACACTTTCTGTTACGCATTACTTTTGATATATTCTCCCATGACCTCGGACTTCGGGTTAGAACAAGTGCATATAGTTGACCAAATAATTGGTACCTCCCCATATGTTTGTATAATATAATAACTTCTCGCTAAAGCTGTGAATGTACTGCACTAACGCTGACTAACACTTGTGATTACCATCAACAACCATTCATCAAATTCCGTTATGAAAGCGACAACCAGTAATTAATTATTTAAGTGTGTAAAGTTTAGAATTCAGTTTCTGATTATGATTTTGTTACGCAGATGCACTCTCTTCTGCAAGAGTAAAAAGTTAACACATTATTGATTGATTATGAAGCAATGGTTTTTGTGCTGAAGAAGGTGTACCTCAAATCCATTTTTTTTTCACCTGGGATATACATATATATCCTTTTAACATAAAATCCTTGATCCGTACCTGAAATAGTTTGCATTTTTATGCCCCCGGATCGAAAGATCCCGGGGGTATATTGTTTTTGTCCTGTCTGTCTGTTTGTCTGTTTATCTGTTTGTCTGTCTGTCTGTTGTCAACTTTAACCTTGCCCATAACTTTTGATTGGTTGGAGCTATGACTTTCATATTTCACATGTGTATTCTTTGTGACAAGACCTTTCTCTGTGTACCATCATATTTGACCTTGACCTTGGAGTTTGACCCACTTTTGCAAAATTTTATGAGACTTCAACCTTGGCCATAACTTCTGAACAGTTGGTGCTTGGGGTTTCAAACTTCACATGTGTATTCTTTGTGACAAGGCCTTCCTTTGGATACCAACAACTTTGACTTTTTGACCTTGACCTTGGAGTTTGACCTACTTTTGAAAAACTTTAACCTTGGCCATAACTTTTGAACAGTTGGTGCTTGGGGTTTCAAACTTCACATGTGTATTCCTTGTGACAAGACCTTCCTCTGGATATCAACCTCATCATAATCATAAATCATAATTTCATTCTCTAGTATAAAATGTCTTATTAGACAAAACAGTACATAAATAAGAACATTTACCTTTTTTAAAATTCGCATAAAATAATTATATCTTATAAGTGATACAATGTTAAATGAATTGTGATCTGTAATTATGCATGCACTTCAAATTTATGATGTGTGAGCATAAACATTTTAAACGTCAGCTCTTTTCTAGATAGTTTACATTTCCTATATAACCATTGTACGTACATTTCGTCAATATGAAAGGCATGTAATGGACAGACAAATTATCATAATTGATTTATCATCACACCAATGCCTTTATATATATCTACAAAGATGAAAAGCTCCAAACAGGTATGAACACTTCAAAGGTTCCTAAACTCCTTTGGCTAACAAGCGGATATTTGTAGAAATAATAAGCTCTTTTAATAGAAAAAAATTCATAATGAAATATTGCATCATGCATTGGGTCGAATATCTGACCTTCTAATAAGTTGAAGTCAGCACAAAATTTATCCTGGTAAGCTTTCTACATCAAACCCAATATTGAAAGGAGCTAGAGATTGCAAGCCTACTGGTAGGTTAACAATAGATATATGAATTTATGTGTATAATATCTCATACTGTATAAGCCTAGAGGGTTGTCTTCTATTTTTTAAAAAGAAAATGGTACTTTTTGGTTCGATAGGGTTTTTTAAATATTTGATTTTTTAAACAGTTATGAATAAAGGAATTATGAAAACACATACAATATATACTTCATATTAAACTTTGAGCATTATTGTTGAAAATATAATTCAAATACACGTACATGTGTTTTGTTTGTTTATTATAAATTTATAATTTTGTTTTATTTTTTACGTGATAAAAAAAAAAGATTGTAGAAAACGAGCAATGCGTGTACGTTTGGACATGCATGTTTTCTTAATATTTATCAGAAATAAAGAAAATGAAATGTGTAATATTATTGAATTTGAAAAAAAAGCTTTTTAATTATGATAGTGAATGGCTAATGAAGATAAAATAGCTACCCAAATTAATTTGTAAATGATGTTAACACTTCATTTTGAAAATTATCTTAAAATGAACATTCCAAAATTTCAAAGATCTATTCTTGCACAACTTAGATGTGGCTTACTACCAATTAGAATTGAAAACTGGGCGTTATAAAGAGAAGCTTTAGATGGGAGATTGCGTAATTTTTGTTTTGTTTTTTAAATGAAGTAAAAAAAAAGTGTCACTTTTTGCTAAATTATTCCAAACTCTCAATGTTTAGAAGAGATTTATCTACTAGCATTGAAAATAACCTCACTTTATTTAGGTCAAATTTAGAAAGTAGTATGTTTTCCTTCTTTTTCCTAAAGAAAAACTCCATATACTTTAAGCAGCATACATACCGGTAAAAACCGGTAAAATATGTGACATGTAGGTCCGATGGGCCAGTTGTCTGAATATTTAATTTGTATCAAAGTGTTACTACACATGTAACTCTAATAAATAATTTACTTACACACAAACACACACACAAAAACACACATGCATAATTTGAAATGAAGACATAGGGTAACTATCGCAAACGATGATGTCCATTGTAGAGTTTGTGATGGAATATACTGAAACAATGTGCGTTTATTTTCAGCTGTAAGATACAAATACATTTTTTCCCGAGGTTTTAGTGCAATTATAGTGGCTGCAATTCATTTTCCACAAAAATATATCTATTATAATTTTATATTCAAATACCCTCGATACTTTAAACAATTTTGAACATTTCTTATGAAACGTTTAAGGGTACATGGTTTAATCATATTACTATATAGTAAACTGTGATACTTAAGGGTGGACACCGGTACAGAGAAATAATTTTGTAATCAGTATGTATTAAAGCCCCTCTTTGGAGCCTCTTATTGTTCGCTTGTTTATTAGTCTTCATAACGACCATTTAAGCTGTTAATGAAAAATTGAAAGAATATACACAAGCTTCAGATTTATCAGTGATCAAATGGAACATAGTTCATATTAATTTTGTCCACAATGGACACTTCTTACGAATACTACGCATTAACAATATATTATAAGCAGGTGCTATTTATAGCTAATGAAACCAGAACACCGGCTTTGCAGAAGGATGCAGAGATATGGTATTCATTTCAGAGAAATGTCAGACCTGCAAGCTTATTGCAACATCTTTTATGTGCTTTTACAATACAGGTGGTATTTTTGAGTAGAAATGTAAAATTCAATTTTTGCAGAATTTTTATATCTTCCAACATGCTTTCTCAGGTACTATAAATAAATAGGCCACATTACGTAGTGGTGTCAGCCAATCAAATTGCTGATTTCAACTCAAGCCCTCCAGATTTACCGGAGCACTAACAGCTGATCGGCAAGGGTTGTTCACAATGTTGGTCGGGAATAACTCTCCAAAATGAAAACTGAAATGACTGAAAGGATGTGTTATGATCAAAATAGAACACCTTAAAAGGTTCCTTTGTGAAAGGTAAGTCATTTTCTGTCATGTTGTGTAACTAAAAGTAGTTTCTAGGTAGTGTCTTTGTTCGCTCTGCTCAGCTGATAATCGACCGCAAATAGATTTCTGTATTGAATGCGAACGGAAGTTTGAGCGTTAATAAGCTTCAATATTTAAACATTAAAGAAAATTATAACTCTTTCTTTGGTATTTTATTGAAATTTAGAGCTGTCATGCTTAATTTCAAATATGAAAGCGAAATAACGCCAAATGAAAGGTCTTCATATTAATTTATTCACTGTTTAAAATATTATAATGATCCGAATAGGAAATATGCTGTGATCTGCAATTTTTGATCCTGATATTTTAATGGTTTGAAAAGCTGAAAGGTTTTTTCATATGAATTGAAATAATTTTATCTCTGCAAAGTGTTTGTTAATTGCATAGGAGTTGTCATTCAATGAAAAAATCAAAATTGGGGAACAGAGGTTTCCATTATCACAGAGTATGACAACTTATTATCATAATTCATTCCAGATTAGAATGAGTGAATACCATCGATTTATTTAAGATATTACTTTTTCAATTTATGAATTTTAAAAGCTATATTGTACTTATTAAAGATTAAATTCATTACTTATACAGATGTGTCATATGGGGTTAAAAATTGGTAACTCTTTTCGTTTTAAATTTTCAGTTTATATTTTTGAGTTTATTATACTAATCATACTAATATTATTTATCCTCGTTGAACCTTCTGTTCATCATTCACTAGTTGACAAAATTATTAATTCATTTATTTGGTGATTGGAAAACTTTGTTGAAGCGAATGTTTAATACAATTAGGCATTTTCCTTACACAAATCTATGTTATATGACTTTGCATTGCATGACATTTGAATTGATAGCAATCGGTTGAAATATAAATTCGGTTATTGTAATATTGTAGAAATACAAATTTTACAACATTAAATCCACTGTTTCGTGTATTTAAATTTATATACAACCAAATTACTTCAAATTTACAATAGTTAAATAAAAATAATTTCTAATAAAATCATAAAGATCTCATATCATTTATATCAGATGCATTTTTTATCAGGTTTACGCATACCTATCGATTGTAGCTGATGGTATTTTAAAGTTTTGTCATATTATGTAAAGAAAATTCGTATACTAAATGCATCTTAAAGATGTATTTAGTATGCGAATTTATTTACATCCGGATTCTATATCTACATTGAGATGTCATTGCTTTATTGGACTTAAGTCCGAAGCTAAAGCACTTGACCAGTATGTATGTACATCGTAGTTAGTTTCTCTGTAAAAAAAAAATGAATATAATTTTTCTATCTTTCCTTTTCAAAACCACCTCTCTCTGATGAAGAGCACATCGTGAATTAAGATATAATTCTATAGATAGTTCAATGCAGGCACCGGCGACGGCTAGTCGGCCTGCATACATTCATTCTCTGAGCATAACTCCTTCTTGTCAAAGTTACCTGACCAATTCATTGCCATATTGACATGTATTAGATGGTACTCACAATGCTAATTGCAGTAGATGCGTTCTTGACGTATGCTCTAGCGGTTATTGCAAATATAAATTTTGTCTATTTGATTTATGTACTATCGTACAATTAATTGAAAATAATATAGGTTTAATGGTGTATTTGGCGCGTGTAAATGATTATTCTTGAATCGTGATTCTACCCCATTGAAAATATATGGGAAAGAACGTAAACGGTTCTTGAAGCACGCCACAAGACTTGTCTCAATTCATAATGTATTGTAGATATTTCACTTTGCAGTTCTATTCAAATAAATTAAAATCGCTACTTATATTTTGCTTGTTTGTCTTTTTACCGAGTTTTAACAGAAAGAACACGGAAGTTCTCTTACATTTTTAGTTTTTTAACCCCACCCCACCCCTCGTAGCCCCAAATTCCTGCCTTCTTGTGTTTCAATAGACTCTATAAACAAACGCTCTCAGTTGCACTGTTTTTCTTCTTTGGTGTGAAACTTGTCTCTTAGAAACTTGTCTCTTAGAATTTTTTTTAAAGTTCTATGCCTTTTTTCGCAATGAGTCTTGGAAACGTTGATTTCCATTATCAATGGTTTTCACACTTCGGATTGAAATTATAGTCAAGGCCAGTTTATTTTCCTGGTATGTTTATTCCTCTTTTGATTTCTGCTCTTTCTCTGAATACCTTTTGCTATTGAAAACTCATCTCAAACTTTTAGCTTTTTTGTAAAATCAGCGATTCAGCAATTTTTTTTTATCACCTGAACCCTCATGACCATGGTTTGCTACCATTGAATTACTTTAAAACATAATCCGGCGCTTTGACTCAAATTTCGGACATTTTTTGAACTATTCATTGTTCTATGGATTACCCCTTGTGTCATGAAAGGTTGAGTTTTCATGTCACCTGCCATCTTTTAAATATAACCAGGTTCTGAGACGGGCACTTGCTGGCCTTGAATGGGGGCAAAGGGTCGAGATTGATTCTGCGCGCTTTGTTCAATGCTAATTATGTTTTAAAAAAATGTTATTATTTAAAAAAAAGAAAGAAAATGAACTCTTATCATGTAGAAAAATATATTCAATCAAAAACGGGAGAAATCACATCGTTTTTCAAATTAAACATTAATTACTTCAACTCGAGAAAATATATTACAGCATTTACCTTTTTATTAGAATTTGATTTTTCAAAGAAAAAAAAAGTTTTGGGTAAATTAAAGTGTGATGAATTTATTCTTTATTCACATAAAGTACAATTCCAAGTTAACAAACTCTTTTCATAAAATGGATTTTCCCCCTGTCGTACCTCATATTGATATATAAATGCACCGCTGCAGAATAAAGGGTCAAGGTCTTTGATTCTGACTCACGGATCAAAGCGCCTGTAGAGGCACTTAAGGGGGCGGTGTGCTAAAGGTATTGCACAGAAATTTAAAGGGAACACAAAGCTTTTTGTTCGGGGCTCAAAAGCAGTGTGGTTTTACTTATTGAACAGCTGATAATAAGTATACAGGTTTACCATAGCGTGAAATAAAGGTCTGAGTAGCAACTCGCTCATTTTGCTAACATCAGCAACTAAAAATAACCCTCGGCTTTAACATGCTTTTAAATAAGTGGTCTTCCGGATATAATCCATGACATGTATGTTATATATATAGTCAGATTATTGTCTACTCCGGAGAAATTTTTATTAATATCAAATTGGCAGATTGATGTTGAAATACAATGTAGAGAGAGGGGGGACTATGGAACAGTGTATTTAATTTACTGGCCGATTAACTTATGAGATTCGCTTAGAATATTAACCTTTAGAACAAAAAACTAATAGATATTAAATAGTTTATGACATAGTAATGGGTGCCATATGAATATTACGATAAATAATCTTTATTTATTTTAATGTAAATGAGGGTTGTGTTCTATTATAACCATAACGTTCACACAGTAACTGAAAACCAAAAACATTTTAAGTAATCCAAAAATGATTTAGAAACCCCGCTGTATAAATGCTAGTACTTTTTGTTTGGTCCGTTAACTCGAACAATTTAGCGGATCTGCTTTTTTGTTAGCATAAGACCTTGCCCTTCATTGAAGCAGTGACCCGATTTACGAAACGATAAACAACATTTTCAAGATGGATGCCTAACGAGAAACAGTGACTTGATGTGTGAAGGAACATGAGAGTACGGACATGTTAATTGATCGTTATATTAACTAGATTTGTTTCAATATGTGATAGGTTCATAGCATAATTGGAAAAACAGTTAGTATATGAACTGGAATCATAAACTATGACAAAAGAATTGGATAATGGATAACAACGTGCATGCCATATATAAAACTTCGTAATAGAGTAAGTTTTTTTTCCAGATTTTTGTTTAGAGTTGAATATTTACGTGAAGTATATGAGGAAAAACAAATTACTTCTCATGTTTGTAAATTTAAGTGAAAAATATTTAATCAGCCATGCAGTTTTTGTCATTATCGGGCATGTCCCTTTAGGAGGGCCTCTTAAAATGTAGATCAGTCCGACCTTCTTACGTGTCCGTTTTTTAATGACCAGTTCGCGCTGGCAAAAAAAAAAAATTTGCATTGTAAATCTTTCTGCATAGAATGTAAAGTGTATTGATGGAGTTTTCGTCCCGAAATATGCTTTTGCTAGGAGGTGACATCGTACAAGTGATTGATAATGAGGCCAACAAGGGATATCGCCCAATGTCGTGAGATATATATATATATGAGCTGGAGACTTCGCAACAAGTTATCAATCATAATTTTAAAGTAAAATTTTGATGTTTTGTAGGTGACTTTCAAATAAAGATTAAATTATAAAATTCAAGGCTTAAGAGGAATCTAATTTATTTTAAAAACGAAAGTACCATTTATGAATAATGGATATTACGCAAGAAATGATTCATAATTTGGAAAGGACATATTGAACAAAATATTTTTTAACATTTTTTTTATTTACTCTATGTTTACTATGGGTAGTTATATTGCCTGAAAGTATATGGTTAAATAAAAGATTGTGGATGTGATTAGTATTGTTATCTAGGGAAATGGGCATTTCCCAACTTTCAGTTTTTTTTTGTGCTTTATCTGTTATACTAATAATTTGAAATAAATATACTGGCTATTTACTAGAAATATGTGGCTTACAGTACACAACCGGTAAGTACGATGTCCAGTGACGCGGATTCTGTGGGATAGGTTAATCGATTTGTTTTCCTCTTAGACCATCAGCAAATACCAGGAAACTGCTTGTAATGTGACTTGTGGTCAGCAGTTGTTTAATGACTGGTCATTTACTGAGTTATGACCGACTTTTTGGTTTTGAACAGCTGTTAATGTCAATAGTCCATCAGTTATCGATCAAAGACTCGACGTTTAATGCTGGGCGGATCCTACTTTTTATGACTTGGTGGTCAAGCAGAATAAATTTGAATGTAGGATACAGAAATATGTTTATTTACAAGTTTTAGTTTTCAATCTGAGCCTTGACACGGTTGTTATCAATTCTAGGTCAGTATTAGTGCGTAATTTGATTTATTCGAAGTCACTTTTTAGGTCACATTTAATCTAGCCATTTAACATCAGTTGAACAACTGTCTATATAAATAAAATAGAAGTACAACGAGCTGACTATTGAGCACTGTATTGACTAACACTGTCAGGGTTGGAGACAAAAGTCTCGTCCATCCCGTTACAAACTACATTATTTTCATCAAAATCTGTGTACCGACCCAATTGCTGTCAACGAATCTCATACGAAGACCGCGCAACCTGGCGCCAAATGACTGTCGATGTCCTGACTTTTTTTGCGAGGATAAAAAACTACATATTATCGTACATTCACTCTTCACAAGTCGCTGTTATTTACCGCAGATTAAACAGAAGAGGTATCTGACCCCAGTGTTCTTCTCTTAGTCTTAACAGACATCTATACAAATTTGTTTAATTTTTGATAAGCAACCTTCGATGACCGCGTTTGTATTTACTTAGTTAAACCCACTGACCGGTTACTTGCCACGAGGAAAAATGACGCAAGTAAGCGAAGATAAATCACCCATTTGTTCGAATTTATGCTACCAGTAGTGACCAGTGTACAAATGAGGTTAGTCTTTAAACACAGAAAGAGTCTCGTCCATAACAAGACTACAACTTCATTTGAACACTGGTCACAAAATCTACTTGTTAAAGTTCGTTCTTATGTCTTGAGTTTTCGAAATCTTTTTCCTTTTTTTTTCTTATCTCTCTTACACCAAGAGGAAAAAATGAAACAAACTGAAACAATTTTAAAAATGTTTGATGCATTTATATCTGAATATTACTCTCTACCGAATTTTAAAGATCGATGAATCTATTCATTGGAAACATGTTGGAATCGGGGAATTGGATCATGATTCCTGACAGAAGGGATGGAAAAGGTGAAAACGTCGATTGTCGACAAAAGACGCAGATGAGGTTGCCATAACCACATTTCTTTGAATGACCACCGGCTTAAATCAATATTGAACCGTAGTTGTAACATTGCATTTGTTGCCAGATGCATCAGGACTTAGAATTTGCTAATAAATACACTGCCTATTAGATAGAAATAGATTTTAATAGAGTATACATATCAACATCTGTGGACAATTTTTCAACATGTACACAACTAAATCGGCGATATCATATACAACTAGTATCTGTGAGTGTGAGAACGTGCAATATTAGATTAAGAAGGGGATTCTTCATGTAAAGATAGGTATCCAGAGTTCCATATCAGTATGGCACGAATAGTAGTCGTTTATTAGTGAAGACAAGTAACGGGAATTGTTCTCAGCCATCGTGCAATCAAAGCCGACGAGGTACTGCACACTATGTGAATGTCGTCTTCGGTCAGCCCGCCATAAACCTGTATGCCTTTGCGTCCATCTTGCCAAAACCATCCAATTGTGTTTCACTTGCATCTACAGTGTGTCGGACAACGAAAATCTGTTTCAAGAAAGAAGTTTATTAATTCTTTTGCTTACGAATGTTGTGTTCAAATACAATCACTTGGATACCATTCAATATACATAAGACTGGAAAACAATGCGATTTTTTGTCGTCTATTTCCACTCGACTTTCTGTATATTAAAGGCCAATTAGTTTTGGTTGTTCACTACATGCTAAAACATACGGCCAGGTATTATATACAAATGTGGCAAAAAGACGATCACGCGTTCATCATGCGGAACCTTTCTCTGCATTAGGTCAATGCCGAGACACTGAAACATTTAATAATGAGCTCGAGTATTCATTTCTGTCAGAAATAATGCGCCCTAGATATTTGTACACAAATAGATCGTAAAACAAAGGGAGTTGTTGAAGACATTATGTGCAGTAGTAAGTTTGGAATCGTAAGCGGTTTTTCTAATTGTACTTTCTCTACATCTATGTTATTTGTACATCCAAACAAAGAAACAACAACAACAAAATAAATGAATAAATAAATAAAAATAAAGAAAGAGAGAGGCGTTCAACTAAAAAATTATATTTTTTATAGAGAAAAACTAAATTATATTTTTTTATAGAGAAAAACGGGGCGATTTCGACGAAAATAATATATATAATTAAGTATAAAATTTAATTTCGAAGAACAGCCATTGTTGGCAATTTTCGCAACACTTCAGATCATCTGACATGTACATATACTTAAAAAATTGTAAACTATTCTATGTTTGTATGTTTATATTTACCAACACATTCATTATCATCATCATATCATAGAAATCTATTTTCATTGTGATACTGGAGTTTGTCAATAAAGATACATTTCAGGTTCAAATGAGCAGGAGACGCCCCGAAAGATATGCATAGAAAATAGTCAAGTTTACCAACAAATTCTCATGTCTCCTTTTTTTATAGAATCTGGACGATGTGATTTGACAACTGGTGAACAGTGTCAACTTGACGGGAAAATGACGGGTAGAACATTCTTAGATAATGTCAGTGAAAAGGACATTGAAATCGAGCCCGAGCCCGAGCCCCGGGCCAAGTCCAGATGCCCAGACGGAGGTTGGGGCTGGGTTATTGTGTTTGGAGCATTTGTCTGTAACGTGATCGTGGATGGAATCTGTTTCACATTCGGCATATATGTGCAGGACATTATAGACTATTATGGAGCAGACGACTCCAAAAGTGTGTTGGTGGGTTCCCTACTAGTAGGATGTTACCTAATGGCAGGTTAGTATTTGAAGAAGGTGACAAAAATTGGGGATTTATACGTATATTTACACATTTTTATTTATATATTTATACGTGTATGTTTAATATTTCTTTCAATTTTTAGGACCCCTTGTGAGTGCCCTAGCAAACAAGTTCGGCTGCAGGAAGATTTGCATTTTTGGCAGTCTTTTGACATGCATCGCGTTCCTTGTGAGCACTTGCGCTCCATCCATAGAGGTCCTGATGTTCTTATATGGGGTCGTTGGAGGTTTGTACAGAAATATTAAAAGCTTTTGGTACATTAAAAAAAACTTCTTCAAGATTTATTGTAATCTCATTTCACTTATGCGACTTTGCTTTATTGAAGGAATCGGAATGGGATTGATATACCTGCCGTCAATTGTCATCATCGGCTACTGGTTTGAACGGAAGAGGGCTTTCGCAACCGGCATTGCCGTCTGTGGATCTGGAATTGGGGCGTTGATCTTCGCTCCAATCAACAGAAATCTTCTGGAGGAGTATGATTGGAAGCAGAGTTTGGTTATAGTGGCAGGTCTTGTTTTGAATTGTGCTGTTTGTGGAGCTCTCTTTAGACCAATAGCCTCAGTTTCCAAGAAAAGAATGAAAAGGGGTATTGTCACTCGTGGATCTATCATGAAAGCACTTATTGCAGAAAAGGAACGCCAGAGGACGATTTCAAATGGATCGTTGGACAATTGTATTATAACAAAAGACAATAGACTCATTAAAATTGATAAAATTGACTTGAGAAATAAAAGTGTTTCTTACATTAATCGTCTGAAAAAGGAACTCGGATTTAGTTCTGGAAGCTTAAATCGCAGTAAAAACAGTCTGATAATAACTCCTGTAGGTTATAACAACAACATGATTATTAACATTGTGGAGAGTGTTCCATCAACTCCAGTACAGGAAAAGAAAGACCTGACCCCCACTCCTATTAGATCCACCCGTAGGAAACGTGATTACGAGAGAAGGAGAGACAGCGGGAACGGTAGCGTGGCCTGCATGCCAGACAATCCAACTCCGGAGAATTTGATGGATATGTTGGAAAAGGACGAAGCTGGCTTATCCAGACAATCGAGTTTTGTCAGTAGGACGAATGAAGAAAGTAGCAACCTGTTGGATCCTAGCTCTATAAAACAAACTCATTATTTGGGGCGAAGCTCAGGGAGCGTGAGGAGTTCGGCCAATACTTATCTGTCCCCGGAAAGTTTGATGACGTCATTGAACTCGAGTGTCAGATTTGCTGGCGAGGTTACCATTGATGAAATTGAGGAATACTCGTCACAGCGGGAAATCCCTGGATGGTGCCTCTACATCTCCAACCTCTTTGATCTCAGTTTACTGAAAGAAAAAGCGTTTGTTCTCTACGCATTTACCAGCTTTCTCAGCATGCTAGGTAAGTATTGTGTGCACTACTCCAGTCCTCTCCCTATACCAAAACCAATTTTCCCCCTCTCAAACGAGTAACGAGTTCAAAGATATATTAGTTCTAGACTTGGTAGAGAGTGTAATAATTTTTTATTTTCTTTTTTAGGATTTTTTATTCCTTATTTCTTCATTCCATTGAAAATGGAGAGCATGAGTAAAGGAAAGGGTGCCAGGGTTACTGACGATGACGGAACCCTGTTTATCTTCTCCATTCTTGGCATTGCTACAACAATAGGTCGTGTTTTAATTGGATGGGTGGCTGATCGGCCGTGGTCAAACACCTACCTTATCAACAACGGGTCACTGGTTCTAGCCGGAATCGTTACTCTTCTCTGTCCTTTCCTAGACGGAAGTGCGCAGATGACAATATTTGCTATAGGATTTGGCTTTTTTACTGGTAAAAATTTGAAAAACACTATTCAAGAACCAGAATTGCATTGTCCTCTAGTAAACAATATAAATTTGTTTGTGACAAATCATACACATTAAACTGAATTCTAAACTTTGTAGAAGACAGCATGTATTCTTGAAAGCTTTAAAGGGTATCATATTTATAATTGTGTTCTTCTCATTTTCAGCCGGATTCCTTTCTCTTCGCTCCATTGTCTTGGTAGATTTAATTGGATTAGACCGTTTGACGTCATCATTTGGATTACTCCTCTTGTTTCAGGGAATTGCAACTATTGCAGGTTCACCATTAGCTGGTAAGAAGTCCTGACTGGTGGTTTTTGTTTGTTTTGTTTGATTTTTGCTTCCTTTTTTAATTATTTTTTTATTAGTAAGAACCTTATTTTTATTTTTTTTTTAATATACATCGCAACTTTATGCCTTTATACATGCTTTTGTAGGTCGAATGAAGGAATTAACTGGTAGTATTGACTCTGTATTTTACCTGTCGGGATCCCTATTAGCAGTGGCGGGTATCTTCGGCTGTTTTATGACGATGCTCAAGCCACGTGACGTCCATGCGCATTATGAGGAGGAAGAAATGGTGGATTATCCGATGGATTCGGAATTAGAAATGATCGAACAGGTAAAACTTCCGGACTCCAGATTGTAAGCAGACACGTTTTGTTTTAAAAACAAAACTATAATTTACACGGACATCTTGTGCAGGGATTTTTGGTGCTGATGATTGAATGTGACTGACTGCGGGACAGACTGTCTGCTTTTCAAAGATTTTGACTCTGGTCAAAAATTGACTTTTTCGTACAAAAAGCGATTTTGAATGTTGTGCGTTGACGTTGTACAAATTTTGTGTTGTTCATGTCCATGCGGTAATTTGATGTGTGAAAGAGGAATCCAACATAAATAAAACAATTATAAAGTGCCACATCAACAAAGTTGATCAGTCTTTCAAGTGTGAAGACTAGATTTGCCACAGAAGGAGTGTGACGTCATTGCTTATTAAGGATCTCAGATTTGAAGGACTGACTGTTAAGGTCTATAGTCTGGTTTGGAGTGTGTAAAGTACCTTAAAGGTACTTTTTGCTTGTTTTTAAACTTAATTCGCAGAACGCTTATAAACATGTTCTTTGCGTCGATGAATTTTGTTATGATCAAAGTTTTTTTTTTTTTATGTAATGATGGACTTGAATGTTATTCTTACTTGAAAACTGATAATGGCAGATTTTAATCATTTGGTAGATATATATTATTATCTATGTTATATTCGATTCGTTACATCCAGTTGTGTATTTTGGAATCTTGTTATGATTTTAGAAGTTACTAATAATGAATGGCTAATGATAATGTTTATAACAATTTCTATTTATATACAAACTATCTGCTTATAACCCGCAGTGCTACTTTTAAGTATTTGCATAATGCTATCATGGCCAAGTGCTATTTTCTTTTGTTTTGTTACTATAGTATTTTGTCTCATGCTCCAAAGACGTGTTAAGCAGTGGGCAAGAAAATAGACTGGGATTGACGAGTTTAAGTGCCTTTGCATATAATCATGTGCAATACACATCACTATCTATTTCAACAAAGTTTTACATGAAATATCATCAACGATGCTAAGGGGGATAATTCAGGGCTTTTTCAAATAATGTACTTTGTCACATTGGAAAAGATGTATTGAAGACGACTTCATTTGTTTTCACATTTTCATTTTGATTTTTTTTTTATTATTAGTCAAATATGTCTCTAACAAAAAGCTTTTAAATTTGGATAGTTCCTCCTAAACTCGACATTTTAAAGCCAGTTGTTTCCTTTCACACGTTTATGTATGTTTTGTGAATGCATGTGTTTAATCTTCATTTTTGTGTTATGATGCATCATTGTAAAAAAAAAAAATGCGTTATACTAGTATCTTGTTTTCTTTATATAATCCATATTATATATATAATTATGTACGATGTACCTTAAACATTTGATAATGAAGGGCGCAGAGACTTCATTTGTTTTGTCTGCTGTTAACCCTGTAGGAAAAAAATGATATTACTGTTATGTATTATGCACTAGATTCGCTTGTCAGGGTGATTTTACATAAGTATTAAATGATTTTATTGCTAGGATTGATTTTAACAGCTGCTTCACATTTTAGCTTTGTCACCCTGTTCAGGTTCTATTCTTGTTCATACATTTGCTGGTCAGTATCACATTTAAAAAAGAGCTTTGGTGACCTAGACGGTTGTGAACGATAGATTGTTTGTGCTGGATCTAAATTGTGTGAGTGTGAACATAGTTTTCAATTTATAACTCCCTTCCCATAACCCTGTTTCATGAGAATGTGATTCAAATTTGTTAGGAGTTTTTGTTCTCTTGAGTGGAAGATTGGTGTTTTAAATGGCATACAAGAGAGAAAAAAAATTGTCCCCTCAGTTATATAGGTGTATATAGCTGACTTGAAAGTCAAACAATATATAGGGCATTTATGAATTGTTTTATTGTACTTGTGTTATAATAAAATTACATTAAAACGATATATCAACTTTGAGAACATAGTATCATTTTACAGATGTGTCGCGCACAACACAGTGGGTTCACAAGCATTAAAAGGGCGGATCCAGGATTTTGTGAATTTATTTTAAGTGACGGGTTTTTCGAAAATGATGAATTGATGTTGATCTTAAATCCGGTCCGCCCATATTTGCTGTTTGAAATACTTATTTTTATTGATTTTTACTGTCTTCACAAGTGAATGAAGCGTTTTAAATGTGGAAATGTTGATCTCGCATAAGTTGTAGACAATAATAGAGATGTATGTGTTTAAAAATTTAATTGCTAATTGGAATAGGATATATAAGAAATGAATTTATAAAATTAATCCACATTTGGTGCACTTTTAAAAATATATTTAATGTGGAAGATGAAAGAATATGGCGATTTCTAGTTTCTGTGTTTTGTATAATATGATGTCACTTTGTGATGCAATTTGAACTTGGTTATTGTGTACATCATATCTGTTGCCATATATATTAAAGTTCTACAAAGAAAAACAATGGTTTTGTTTTCCTTACCATTAAGTACCTGTATCAATTCAGGAGAGAGAGAAATAAAGAGCTACTCAATACATGATAAACCAAAGATTAAAATCTGATATCATTAAAATCGGTACTAAATGGTTCTAACTTTTTGGTGGAAGGTGAATGTAGGTCATCTGTTGAAAGTAACTGTGATTAAGATTTGTGCGTGGTCACAAGGTGTACTTTGAACGTCTTTACACTATATAATCACTTACTATAGAAAACAAAAACTTGTAATGTATGACCGCAGAGCAAAGTCATAACACGTGCTTAATTTTATCATGTTTCAGTATCTCGTATCAAGACAATTCAAATTAATTTATTTTCAAAATCATAAAAAAAAAATTAATTAAAAACGACGAACAGGACTAAGCTGTAAATTGAAGGCATACATTTTCCAAATGTTTAATTTTCGAACAATATTATCTTTAAATAATTCATAGATCTTTAAGATTTAATATACGTGTACTACCATTGTTTTATTGTTGTATTAATAAAACATACCTCTTTCCCGCGATACCTTTCCAAAGATTTCGATTATAAAAGAGGAAAATAACTTCCAAACATACAGGGTGTCCCAGAATATATGATACCATTTCAAGATTCTGTAAAATCTAATGAAATGAATATTGAATTACAACAAATGCATAATAATCATTGCATATACTGTCCAATTTTATTCACATAATTTGACAGTCATTAAACAGAAAACAACAAAATCAGTTCACTTTGAAAAATGCCATGGTTTTTAAATGATGCCCTCAAAATGACGTTCTATCTGTGTAATGATAACGTCTAGACGTTGCACAAAATTCTTGAGACAACAGCGCCTGTCTCGGTAGTAACTTCTAGATTTTCATCAGAGGTAAACCTTTTATATATGTCAAGGATTCTGGTTTGGGATTATCATCAGTAACTTAAGACTAGAATTGATAATTACAGTTTCAAAATGAGGGTAGCTAGCTCTTTTTATAACCCATTTTGTTGAAATTGCAGTCTTTTGCAAAAGTTTGATGTAAAGGAGATGGGCGAACATAGCGTGCAGAAAGCCTATAGCTTCAGAAATATAAAAATCATGTTCAGTTTGTGAATTTAATATTTAGAGTAAAGTTCTCATTATTGAAATTTATGTAATTGTGATAAACAAAACTTTTCTGAGGAAATTTTTCTAGGCAAAATTTATTCTTTTATTAAAAAAAATTAATGTGGTATTCGTGGGGTTCGAACCCTAGCAATAAAAATCGTGAGAATCATTTTCTTTCGAGACTAGCACGCTAACCACTATAGACTACACACGTCCTGCCGAACAGTGGCATTTAAATCATGTTTGTGATATGACCCTTGACTTAATGGACTTCAAGTATTTCTCGAAAAGATGCGAATGTTATGTCATAAAAGTATATTTTTAAGGTATAGTGGGTCATTGCTCCATATTTTTGGTAACCAAAAAATGTATATTTTTATGCAAACTTTGAGGATTAACTTTCAAAAAGGTGGAGCGAAGACCCACTCATATCGAAAAATAGTGTTATAATATGCGAAAATGACTCTTTTTGCCCGCTTTAGTGTGTGTCTAATATTTCACAGGCAAATAATTTCATTCTTTGAGGGATTTTTACAAATTGTAGAGATTTTACATAAAGTATATTTTAATGTTAGACGAAATGTCAAGGAAAATTTCGATATAATAGAAATTTAATTTTTCATCTTCATGTTTGTCACACTATAGGCTTATCGCTCGTCATGTTCACCCATCTTCTTTGTAATATTGCAATTTCATAAGTGTGAGAATTTTTTTGGGAGTAGTTTGTTGCTAAAAATTGTACTTATTCAAATATTTTGAGAGACATATATCAAAGAAATTGGCCAAGGGATGTGTTTGTGGTAGGTATTCCAAATGGTATCATATATTTAGAGTCACCCTGTATTATGTAGAATTTTGAATAATGTAGACATCATTTCATAAAATTCGAATTTAAATTCTATAAATGAAAATCTGTAGGTCTTCAGAGTACATCAGTCCAAAGAAAAACAAACGTATCAAACCTAGAAAATTTCTTGACAAGCAAAAAAAAAAAAACTAATTTCTTTTCCAAACGTGAAAAACCTATTTTGTGGTGGTGGTTGTGGTGGGGTCAACGTAATCTATGAGGGGGGGGGGTCAAAGTAATATTTTATTTGCTTCAGTGTATGGTCCCTCAGTGTAACATGTGTACAGGAACATACAGATCAATACTAGTATTCTTGACTTGTTCAAAACATTGTATAAAATATATCAAAAAGTATTTTGTATAAAGAAGTTGACAGGATGAAGGCCAAGTCTGTCCGCTTCTCTTCTGAGAATATATGGAAGAGTAGTACCTAATCTCAGTGGTTGGGTGACAGATACACAAAGGAAATTAGAAAGAAATCGGTAATAAAGAAATAACACACATGTTTACATGTAATCTTCCCATTAGACAGGTTGTCTTTTGTTTAATTAATTTAATTTATTAGTAGCATTTCTTTGCATTGGGTAACTATATGTACTGAGTATATTCACAGTGTCTTTAGCACAGAGTTATATGTTATCAGTTGCTGATAAACTTATGTATCACCGCATTACTGATAACTTGTTAAAGTAAATGATAAATTTTATGCAATTGCAAATAAATGTTCAACCAATCACAGTGTAGTTTATCTGAATTTAATGAAACATTAACAATATTTCTCTGTCCTAAAAAAGAAATTAAGCAGAATGTTTTAAATGACTCTTTGTACATGTACGTGTAAACATTTTATTGGACTTCAAAAGCAACCCTTCAAACTCACAAAATAGGGGAACTGCGAGTATAACAATCTCCCAAGTGAAACGGGCGCTGTCTACTTGTATTTAGAAAATTAAAGGAGTATACATAACATTTTTGAGTACGGGTTTCCCCTTGATGCACTTAACATCATACGATGTCAATACTGTTTTCCTTCTAGCTCCACGAAGCTATTTAACCACACATAAATATACTGAGGGTCGCCACGGTGCAGTGAGTTCACACTCATCATTTAGGAAATCATCCGATACTCGGCTTAAAAAAAATATTTACTTTCTCGTTCCTCTATTCATGTTCACTGGGGTGCAATCCGTGCATTGGTCCCAAGATCTGTTTTTGTTTGTAATAGAATTTTTTTCCAAAGGTCCATTTCCATTGAAAAAGCATATAGGAGATTTACAAGAATAATCGGTTTACTATCAGATATCGGTGAACTGTAAGTTTAAGTATGGCGATTGTAAACACTTAATTTAGATTGTGGACATTGATGTCATGCCAAACAGTTTGTTCAATTTGGGGTCCTTATGACCTGGCCACTTCTTTGTAATGTTAAAAACATCTCACGGCTTGGAACGTTTTCTTGTAGAAAGAAATTTATTTGTCGATCCAGTACACTGCATAAGAATATATCAACCTCTTTCGGACAGTCACTCAGTACTAGTGATAAATTGCATGTGCGGATCTAGGGGGGGGGGGATCCGGACCCCTCCCCCTTGGAATTTGCAGAGGTATTGAAAGAATATACTGAAGCAAATAAAAAATTACTTTGGACCCCCCCCCGCCCCCCCTCCCGCAATGGAAAACGTGGACCCCAACACCACCATCACGAAATAGGTATTTTTCACGTCGGGAAAAGGGATATAACTTTTTTTTATTTTGCTTGTCAAGATATTTCTGGGAGAATTTTTTTTGCCTGTGTTGGACCCCACCCCCCGCCCCTGGAAAATGTTTTTTGGATCCGCGCCTGCATTGCAATACAAAAGAGCAAAGGAATAGGCAATCCTTGTATCTGTAATAGTCAAATACTTATTTTAATGTTTATTTTGTCTTTTTTCCGTGTTTGATCATTGTAACTAAGAGAGTATCTCCGGAAAAAAAAATTATTTAGTTGAATGGCTAACTTTGGCCAATGGTACATATTTAACCACTGGATAGCAAAGTTAACCAGTGGATAAATTCTGATTAACAGAATTTGACCAATGGTTAAAGTTAACCGCTGGATAAGAGATTTTACCAGCGGTTAGCGCTAACCAAGGTTTTGAGCAACCCAGTCCTGAGGACCTTAATATACATTCGTACGGTGTCCCTCGTCCGTTTGTATGGCTGTAAACATTTTCTTTTTTCAGAATGCTACAACTTCTACAGTTTTTAGATGATTAAGCGAAATTCTTCAAAATGATATCCATCGTCAAAGCTTTTGTCTTTTTTCCTCAAATAAAATTCTGCACACGATTAAAAGCCATAAAAATACATCTTTTAAATGTGTCAAAGAGCTACTGTCTAGCCTTAAACTTCTGGTTCTTTTACAGAAATGTGCCGAATAGTTACTCCCTGGTGTCTAAGTCTTAGTGTTTCCTGAATCTGGCATACATGTATTGAGCATTTAAAAGACAAATCAAAGATTATTTAAAATTCGACATCTGTTGTTTTTAAAATGTCTTTAAGCCAAAAGGGCAATTCTGGGCAAAGAGAAACGTTGTATTTGATGGGTCCCTTACATGTAAAGAAAGTGGGTGAACATGACGAGCGAAAAGCCTATAGTGTGACAAACATGAAGGTGAAAAATTAGATTTTAATTACATAAAAAATTTCCTTGATATTTCATCTAACATTAAAATATATTTTATGTAAAATCTCTACAAATTGCAAAAAAGCTCACAAAGATTGAAATTATTTGCTTTTGAAATATTATACACACACTAAAGAGGGCAAAAAGAGTCATTTTCTCACACTATAACACTATTTTTCGATATGGGTGGGTCTTTGCTCCATTTTATGAAAGTTAATCCTCAAAGTTTGCATAAAAATAAACTTTTTTGGGTTTCCAAAGGAGCAAAGACCCACTATAACTTAAAAATATACTTTTATGACATAACATTCGCATCTTTTCGAGAAATACTTGAAGTCCACTAAGTCAAGGGTCATCTCACAAACATGATTTAAATGCCA